GACCACATGGCCAGCCCCACTAGGAGACATGATGCCCCTCACTGACCCATGGCCCTGCTGGGGACAACACCAGAGACACAGTGTGGGAATTGTACCCGATCTGATCCCGCCACACTGAGGCTAGGTGGTTTCTCCCAGAACAGGGCTCAGCAAACTTTGGAGATGGAAGAGCCAATCCTGTCCATCACCACAATTTAAAAATTATTCGAGAGCCATAAATACAGTTTTATAAACAAATGAAATCACCCTGATCAGAATGCTATCCTTTCTTTTTTTTTTTTTTTAGTTTTATTTCAGAGCCACATGGAAGTACCAAAAGAGCTGCATATGGCTCATGAGCCGCAATTTGCGGACCTCTAGCCTAGACTCTGTTTCACGAGGAAAGAAGGCAGGAATTGGCTGCTTTGCCCAGGAGGTTTCCAGTCCCTAAAGTGCCAAGTCCAGTGGTTCTTTTAAGCTAGCATAGTAACTTGGAGTAGAAGCAGGGACAGCTTGACTTTCTCAGTTGCTGGCACAAAGGTTTCTGCGTGATGGAGTGGAACTTCGAGGTGGGCCAGGGTGGCCTCATTTTTCATGGGTCTGGGTTGAGAAAGCTAAGCAGTCAGCCCAAAGAGAAAACCAGGCTTTCTTTGGCCCTGTCAGATGCTAGACTATGAAATCATAGACTGCCACAAAAGGGCTACTATCAGTCTGTTCCAGTAAGGACTCTTCAGGTCCAATCCTGTAGTGGATTCTAAAAGCAGATCTCTAGGTTCCGTAAGGACCCCTGCATCATTCTCTCACCATGACCTCTGCCCTCAAAGTACCAATTGATTGTCTCCTGTAATGAGACTCATCCTGAGCTGCTGGTACGTGTCTGTAGTGCCCTTATTAAAGGTAAAATTGAATAACTGCACTGTGAATAAGGAGCAGCTTCTGGTTTACTATAATGCAAAGAAAGCTTAACCTTATTTCTAGCTCTGTGTAAGCCGTGCTGCCTATCCCTGCACTCAAGAGAGTAATTGAGCCCATTTCATCAGCTCTGTGAGAGCATGGGGACAATTTTCCCATTCTTCTACCAGAGCCATAATTGATTAGTCGGGAATGAGTTGTCAATGCATTGGCCTCAGCCACTTGTGTTGGGATGAAGAGGAGCTTTCCTGTCCCCTGATCTACTCTGATGGAGGCTGGCTTCCTAGCTTCCCAGCTTCCTGCAGGACTGGCCGGCTCTGGGAACACTAAGGCCCTGAGGTTGCCTGGCCCAGGTTTTCCACCCCATTCAGAGATCTCCACAGCATTCTGGGTAGATAGAGAAACTAGCCTTTGCTTGAATACCTCCAGAAGCATAGAACGCTTCACTGTTTGACTTGAAGGAAGCTCCAGTTGTTGGAAAGTGGGTCATTCTCCCCTCCGTGCGTGTGTCTGAGTGTTTGTGTTGAGGCAGCTGGCTTTGGCATATGGTCTGGTTATCTTCCACCAGCTCTGAAGATAGCATTTTCATGAATGAATTCCCTGGCAAACAGCTCCCTTCTCAGAAAGCACCAATCCCTCCTACGACAACCTGCCTTTCAGGTTGATAATTAGAGAATCTGGCGAAGGCCAAGCTAGGCAGATCCGCCTTCCTCTTCTCTGAGCCTCGAGATCTTTCCTTTCATGCTGGCGTGGCCTGCAGGGGTAACAGGCAGAGCCACTTCCCCTCACACACCTCCTACCCCAACACTGCCCCTTCCCATGCGACTATAAGCTCCTGTTCCTCTGCCATGGAATGAACTCCAGAGCCTGGGCTTCCCTGGGTAGTGGGGGTAGGAGGAATGAATTCCGTGTTTCCTGTGGCAATGAAAGCTGTAATATGTCTGGCTCCCTGATGCGGCCTGCACACCTTGTGAGACACGGTTCTGTTCCCTCCTCTTTTGCTTTGGCTCAAACTTGTTGCATCAAAAGCCCGGGTTTAGAATGTTCTTGACTGGAAGCACTATTAGAGATGAGCACAGCAGTTCTCAAACAGGTCCTGGGGACTCACTAGTGGGTTAGTTTAGTTGAGAGGAAAAGGGGTAGTCTTACAGCTGGCTTTTTCAGAAGCGACAGATGTTTGATACCATAGACTGTAATGATGACTCTCACTTCTGGAAGTGTCATTTCCCTTGGAAATTTGCCCTTGGAAATGTCACATGTGAGCGTGCATGTCCTGGCGAGCAAAGCAAGTTGAGGACCCTTGGGTCTAGCTCCACTCCCTCATTTCCCAAGTTGGAGAAACCAAGACGCTGGTTAACTTACCTCACATATATAATGGTCTTTTAAAAAAATCTTTATATTTTATTTAGTTCAGTGGTTCTGAGCCTTCCTAATGCCGTGACCCTTTAATCCAGTTCCTCATGTTGTGATGACCCCCAACCATTAAATTATTTTTGTTGCTACTTCATAATTGTAATTTTGCTACTGTTATGAATTGGGACCCCTGTGAAAGGGTCCTTCGACCCCCAAAGGGTCATGACCCCACAGGTTGAGAACCGCTGATTTAGTTGGTTGCTGTTGGGAATATCCATAGCAAAAGATACACCAATTTAACAGTTTCCACATGTGTGATGGACTGATGTTGATTCCATTCTCACCTTCTCTTTCTGAGACCTTCCCCATTAACAGAAATGCAGTGCCCCCTAAGGTATCTCTGTAATTTTTTTAATTTGCTGGTGATTTGATCCTGTAAGGATCCCTGGTGGTCTAGTGGGGTTACATGTTGGGCCACTAACAGCAAGGTCAGCAGTTTGGATCCACCAGCTCCGCAGAGGGAGAATTATGAGACTTTGTGCTCCCGTAAAGATTTATAGCCTCAGAAACAAAAGGACAGCGTTGCTACTCTGTCCTATACAGTTGCTATGAGTTGAAATTGACTCAGGTAGTGGGCTTGGTTATTCTTTGATTTTAAGGATACATCTGGGGGCTCTTTTGGTTTCGGTTTCAGAGAGTCACCTACCCTGTGTGGCTCTAGGGAACCTAGAGTCTGAGAATTTTTATTTCTGTGCTGCATTTCCTCCCTTTTAATCAGGATTCTTCTTTGTGATGTTTAATCAAAGTGTTCACTAATGTTAGCCAGCAGACATAACAGTCTCATACCATGTGCCAGGCATGGGCAGTGTCCTTATTTAAAGAACCTGTATATCTAACTACCATATGAATGAATGCCTTACTTTATAATCTAGTTCTACATGTATTATCTCAATGGTTTCTCATGCCAGTCTTTTGATGTGGAGGACCTAAGGCAGCTTCAACGTGTGCCTGGAAAATGCCCATTATCTCAATTCCTTGGTCAGTGAACATCTTGAAGCCCCCTCATATTCTCCACATATGGCAGATAGGAAAACTGAGTCTCGGAGAGATGATAACTTGGCTCATGTCAGTGGCACAATTTGAGGTCGGGCCAGTCACCCTCTCACCATGATGTTGAGATGCCTAGACGGGGGTGGGGGGTGGGGGTTGTTCCGGAAGACCCTGTAGGAGAAAGGCCTTCACTATGGAATTCTCAATAGGCCTTGCTGGAATCAGTGAGCTATGGCTACTTAGAAATGTTGCCCATTATGTTTCAGTGGCACCAGTAAGTTGATTTTCCATTGAGAAAGGCCATCTGTTTCTGCTCTTGGCTACCAGCTGAGTCGATCCCCTGATGTGGTCTGGTCTCAGAGACTTTCTGCTGGCTGTGATATTTGTGTCTGCAGAGTGGCAAACAGGTGGGCAGGACAGCGGCTCGGAAGGAAAGATTCTAATTCCTCACCCCAGTATCTATGTCATGCTTGGCAGAGCTGCTAAATTTGCCTTCCTGGGAGAGTGTTGAAGAGTCAAAGTGGGAGGAGAGGGATGATGTGGAGGGAAAGCAGCAACGAAAGTTCTGGGTTCCGAGAAGCCCTTGTAAAATTACCCTCATCTTGGGGACACCCAGATGTGCTGCCCCCTGCTGTCCTGGCTGGGAGTTTTCTTCTACTTATAGAAGCAGGAACTTGACAGTGAGGAAAGCATTTGGGTGGCAGCCTGGGCTGGATATGAATTGATAGCTGATGGTTGCACAACTTTGCTTGGAGATTTGAATCCCTAGAGACCTCTGATTCATCTTAGAATAAGGGGCTTTGGCTGCTTCTAACATCTACTCTTTCCTTCTCATGGCTGCAGATTTAAAGGCCCGCAAGCAAAAGGCGTCCTCCCAAAGTTCGGAGCACCACCTCAGGAACAGGAACCTTCTCTTGCCCAACAAAGCCCAGGGGATCTCAGATTCACCCAATGGTTTCCTCCAAAATAACCTGGAGGAGCCAGCCTGCCTCGAAAATTCAGAAAAGCCATCAGGAAAGCGGAAATGCAAGACCAAGCACATGGCAAACATCTCTGAAGAGGCCAAGGTATAGTGGTGGGAAAGGGGAGTGGGCTAGAGTTCCGCAGGCTTCTTGCCAAGCCCGTTAGTCAGTAATCCTGTGAGTGAGTGAATGAGTGAGTGAGTGGTGGCTGAAGAGAGCCCAGTTAACTCATGTTCATTGAAGTTTTTTATAAACTGGTTCTGGGGGCAGTGCCAGTTAGGGGAGAGAATTTTCACCTTTCATTTAGTCAACCCAGTTTCGATCAGCACCAATGTACCACAGATATGGCCCCTGCCCATCAGTGAAGGGAGGTGTGTGTGTTGCTCTAAGGCTGAACAAGTTTCATTGGGACTTCCAGAGTAAGATAAACTAGGAAGAAAAGGCTGGTGGTCTGTTTGCTAGAAGTCAGCCAATGAAAACTTGCTGCATCACGATGACCTGAATCCATACTGGGTCACAGGACGGGCTAGGACTTGGTGGTGCACCGGTTGATGAGTGGTAGTTGGAGGCATATAACGATAACCCTTGGTCTTCTTGCAATAAGCCCAGGCTTCCTTTTGAGTTTAGGAAGAGTTCAGGAATATGGCAAGGGGTTAGCCTGAATATAATTTGTTAATGGCCAATCAAGAAGCTTTGATCTGGACTCAACTCACTGGAAACCAATCATTAGAGAGCTTTCTGAGTCAATCAAGGCAGAGAACCACTCGTAAAAATTGATGTCCAGACAGGTTGCTTAAGGGTAGGACCCAAGGAATTCCCCTTGGGTCTGGGCTGTAGCTGCCCTTCTCCATCCCCTTCCCCAGTTTGATGGTTTCTTGGGGAAGCAAAGGGACACTCATTAACCAGTAGCTGAGCATTCCCACAACTCTCGCTTGTTGGGACCTGACGTTCATGTTGGCTTCCATGCTGCCCCCAGTCCTTGCCCTGGAGGAGGGGCTTTCCATTTGAGGGAAGGGCCAGCAGTCCACATTCAGTGGATCCCCATAATGCATAATCATCGTTGGTAACTGGAAAAACCAAGGCCTACAGGCTTGTTGCCTGTGAATAGTGAGTCTCCCTTTCTCTCCCTCCCCTGCCCCTCTTGGACTCTGGTTCCATCTCCAACAAGGTACTCAAGCCATGTTCCCATTTGTGAACAGCGCAGACAGCACTCCTTGCCCTTTGTAGCTCACAAGGACCCTTGGGGGAACAAAGAAGGCAATAAGCGTGAGAAGGGTAAAGTACTTTCAGAAGGCTACCATGTGTCCCTGTGCTGAAGGAGGTGACCAGCCTGAGGGGACAGAAACTCAGAAGGGCGGCACATGAGCCCAGAGAGAAAAGCAGGAGGACCGAGGGACAAGGCGGGCTTGTTGGTTGGGGCTAAGGGCCAGGTCCCACCTTTTCTGGTGAGGAAACTAAGGCACTCCAGGAGGGAGGGTGAGCAAAGGTCTTGTGGGAGGTGACTCAGTAGTCATGGGGGACAGACTTGGGACGGGCACTCTAGAGGCTTGTCTGCTTCTAGAATCTGGGCTCTTTCCATCAGCTGCTGGCTGGGGTGGGGGTTATCTATCTGTATCCTGGAGACACTGGGGGAGTTGGGCAGGGACTTTCTGCAAGCCCCGGCACAAGTTGGGTGTCCCAGGCATCTGCTCATACACCATACCTCCCCTGTAGGAGAGACGCCCTTTGGCTGCTTAGTTGAAATCTGTGTGTTTTCCCCAGCACCCTCCAGTCCTACCTTCTTCATATACTGCTGTTTTCCTGGAAAGAGCCAAGGTGTGTGCATCCTGACCACTCACCTGAAAGTCGGCAGTTCACAGCACCGGGGGGCATTGCTTCCGGAAATATGTCAGCTATCAACAGCCCTATGGTGCCACAGTTCTAGTCTGTAACACGTGGGTTTGCCACATGTCACAATCAATTCGATGGGAACGAGTTTGGCTTTGGGGTGGTCATTTGTATCCGCCTGGAAAGCTAAGAGCACGATCATGCAGACCTGTGACCTTCCTGCCTGGAATTGTCCTCTGCCCTTACAGGATGGGGAAACTCGTAGCTTCGAGCTGTCCTGGGATTAAACCAGAATGGAGCAAATGCTCCTGGTGTTTATCTTTTCTCTGCTCCTCCTTTCCCAGCTTCCGTTCTTCCTCAGCAGCCTGCCTGCTGGGGCACAGTGCCTGGCACATGGTCAGCTTGAATCCAGCCAACCAGTATTGGTTGCAATAGGGCACCCAGCCCCGAGCTCAGGGGGTGGGAGGAGCCAAAGAGCACAAGACCATGTACTCTCCCCACCCCCACAGAACCAACTTTATGCCAAGCATAAAGGCAAGTCGTCCTCGTGCAACTGAGTGGACGTGAAGCAGGGAGGCAGTGAGGGACTGAGGCGTGGCTCCACCTCGGTGCTCTGGTTGGGCAGAGAAGGAGGGCACTGGGAACCAGGGGGCTGTAGAACGTTGTAGAAGACCCAGGGCTGCGCTGAGGCCTTGACGCGCCAAGGTACTGAGATCGGCATGCCAGAGCCACCTACTGCTGGATAGCAAATCACTCTAGAATTTAGCACTTTCAAACAGCCATCACCATATATTCTCTCAAGACAGGTTTTGAGGGTTGGGAATTCAGAAGTGGCTTAGCTGGGCACGTCTGGCCCGGCTCTCTCATGAGGTGGCAGGCAAGGTGGTCAGCCTTGGCTGCAATCACCTAGAGGTGTGCCTGGGGTTGAAGGATTCTGCCACTTGCAGGGCTGGCAAGCTGATGGTGGTGGTTGGCCAGAAGCCCCCTTCCCTGGCCTCGTGGACCTTTTCCGAGGGTTGTATAACTGCTCTCACACATGGCAGCTTGCTTCCCCCAGAGCAGGGAATCCAGAGAGAGCAAGGCAGAAATCACAGTGTCTTTCAGAACCTAGTTACACAGCATCATGTCTGCAGCCTGTTGGTCACACAGGCGAGCTCTCCGGAAGGTGGGCCTCCTCAGGGGCCCTCTTGGGAGTTGGCCATAGTCCACACTCTGGTCACTATTGCTTCACCTCCCTCTCAAGGTGCCCTAAAGTCTTCTTAGATGACAGCATCAGCTCCCATTCTGATATATCCTCATTTAAATTAGGAGCGAGTGCAGCCAAGGCTCCCTGAGCCTGGTTCCCGGAGCACAGCTCAGAATGCCTCACTGGCTGAAGCCCTCTGAAGTCAGGATGGCACATGTTCTCATCTACCAGACAGTGGTGGCACAGGTGTTAGCAATACACGGATGACGTCCCACTTTAACGTGTGGGGCTCTCAGGCCAACCACGAGGGAAGGGCTCAACTATTTGGGGGCACCTGCCTTTGGCTGCATGGTTCTGGAGCCTTCCCCGTTGTTGAGTCCATAGGGCAGCTCAGAGGGCGGTCTCCATTGCCCGGGCCTTGTGCTTAGTGGAGGACAGAGGCAGGCAGGGTCCCCACCAGTGCTGGCACCCAGTCTAGGTGGGACTGAGTATGATCTGGGAGCATGGTACGGGGAAAGATGAGGAAAGTCTGGTGAGAGGAAGGGGGTGGCCACTTCTACAACAAGAGTGGGGGTTTGGGAGCTGTGTTTTGGTCCCTACAAAGATCGCTGACTCCCTCTGCTTTGCTTTACTCATGTATGTCAGCTTATTTACAGATAGGACATGTAAGGGACCCAGGAAGATTCCAAATGAAGGCCTAGTAACAGGCCCAGCTCCTCAACTCCACCCACCAGGGTCACGACCATTTTGGTGGCTACATGCAAACAGTACTGTGTCCAAAGAGAAGTTGAGATGACCTGGGCATCTGGGTGGGGTGGCCACCAGGGGAACTGCTCTCTGACCTAACTCGGTTCTGCATCTCTGCTTTTGCTCAGGGTAAAGGTCGCTGGAGCCAGCATAAGGCTCCGTCTGCCAAATCTCCCAGCCCAGTGAAGCCCATGGAACCTTGCGCGCTCTCTAAGTCCCGAAGTGCCGGCCTAGAGGAGGCAGAGTCCCCCACAGTCCGCCAGATCCCACCGGAAGCCCGGAGGCTGATCGTGAACAAGAATGCTGGCGAGACCCTCTTACAGCGGGCAGCAAGGCTAGGCTATAAGGTGAGGGGACCCCAGGCTGCTGTGGGCCTGAACTTCAGAGGAGAAGCTTCTTGTCAGTGGTTCTTTGGTAGCCCAGGCAGGGCCAGCAGGGCTTTGTTTGGGCCTTGAGCCTAAGGAAGTGGGGGGCCAGGGCCAGCTTCCTTCACTGCCCAGATTACTGCTGAAGCTTGCCCGTTCCATTGCCCGCTGGGTATGTGGGAACGCAAGTTCATTTGAAATGGCAGTGTGAGATGAAGGCAATAGACATAGTAACACAATCTCATCTAGTGCACTCCTAGGCCACAACTGGGATTTGGGCATTTTCGTGTAGTCTTGAATTTCACGAGCGGTGGCTCCCCACTTCCCAGAGAGGAACGAGGGATAATTGCTGCCACCACCCCTGCATTTAGGTTTTCTGTAGTAGAGGGGGTCAGAAAGAAGTTCGAAGGGGTGGGGATGAGCTAACCTCACTTTGCCCTGGTGCAAAGGAAGCTGAGGTTGATGGAGGCCTCTTTTGTCATGCTAAAAGCTGCGGTTATTTCATGTCACTTAATCTTCATGGTCGTCAGCCTGTGGAGGTGGAGATAGGCTTTGTGGCCCCCATTTTACAGGTGAGAAAATCAGGGCTTAGGGTAAAGTGATTGAGCCCAGGTCACCCAAGTGAAATAGGAAACACCCAAACTCAAAGTGGGGGGGCTTCAAAAATTGTGGGAAAATGGAAATAAAAGACAATGTGGTTTTCCCATATGCTTTAGGAAGTCCCTTCATACATGCTTAGTATCTTGGGAGCCTGTTGGTTCCATGGTGAAAAATAGGTGGTTTGAACTCACCCGAGTTCTGTGGGGAAAAAACCTGGCAATCTGCTCCTCCAAAGACCATAGCCAAGGAAACCTTGGGGGTTGGGGTGGGGGGCACTTCTCTCCTGTCACATGGGGTTGCTCAGTCATAATCGACTCAACACCACAACAGCATAGACATACATCTGCATATTTGTGTGTATATATATGTTTATAGATAGGTGAACATATGCACACACACACACACACATCTTGAGTTCAAATGAGGGTTTGTTTAGTTCCCAGAGCAGTGATGGAAGACTGACTCATGAACAGAAGCAGGTTCTGTGGTTGGACATTTAGGTCCTCACCCATTTTTTTGTGTCTGCAAACTTGAACACGGATCTTGGCCCACCCCACTGAGCACAGCCTCAGGAATTTGTTCTTTTAGCAGTGAACTTACTGGGTTCCAAACTGTACTCTCCTTTTTTAAGGCTTCTGAGAGCTGTGACTGACTTATTTTAAGATGGCTCTGTTCCAAGCTGGGCTGGCCAGCACAGCACAGTGGACTTCAGGCTCCATGGTCCACCCACCCATCTTAGTTGGGCCGTAATTGCTAAAGGTGACCTGAACCCCCCTCTATCTTTGAGTTCCTGGGGAAAAACCAACAAACAGGCCTCTCTGAGAGAACCAAAAGGCCAGGGTCTTCATGTGAGGAGGAGCCTGTTGGGAAAGTGGGGAGAGTGAGTGCTCTGACAGGGCTGTGAGGAGGAAGGGGCCACCATTCACGTTACTAAGCAGCCCCTCCCCAACCGCCACACCTACTGTCAGGCAGCCCAGCGAGTGTCTCCTCTCAGCAGTGTCCGGCAGAGGGGTGATACTGGTGCATTTACGAGTTCACTGGTTTGCAAGTCAGGCCTACAGCTCTCTTACCAGCCTAATCCCAGGCAAACAAGAGTGCCTCTGGTTCCCAGAGTCCCATCTTTGGCCCCTGTGAAGTGTGGGTGAACGTGACCAGCCATGGTTTGAGTAGAGGGCTGGCGCTTACTCTCCTGGATGAACATTGGTCTTGCTGAGGCCAACACCCGAGTTCAGATCTTGAAGTGATTCTTTCTTCCCCGTTGTCAAAGTCCTGCTAGCAACTGTGCCCTGTATGCACACCACCCTATTTCTAATCTCGAGGCCCCAGGCTCAGGGAGTTAAGGTCTTAGGGTTTGAGCTGTAGCAGGGCCAGTGAGCTGCTCTAAGGACTGTACCCCCACAACCTACACCCAGCCCCAAGTAGTGTAGCCTTGTCTCTCCACTATCAGGGAGATAACTTAGGTCTGGGCGCCTGGCGATGGTGGCTCAGGACTGACTGGGCTGGCATGATTTTGAGGTTGGCCTCCATCCCACCCTGAAGACCAGACTTTGTCTGAGGTAGTGGATGGTTTGTGAAACATAGACTTGAACTGAGGTGATGCCAAGAGTTAGACCTCGCTGGTCATGGAGCTCTCCCCCCTGCCGTTGTCCCCACAGGACGTCGTTCTCTACTGCCTCCAGAAGGACAGTGAGGATGTGAATCATCGAGACAACGCTGGGTACACGGCCCTGCATGAGGCCTGCTCCCGGGGCTGGACCGACATCCTGAACATCCTGCTGGAGCACGGGGCCAACGTGAACTGCAGTGCGCAGGATGGCACAAGGCAAGGCCGCGACTCTAGCCCACACCAGGGGCCCTTCAGCAGGCCAGGCTGCAGGCTGCTAGGGGGCTTGGTTCAAGAGGGGATGTAGTCAAGACTGCCATAGACTAAAGGGAGAAGCAGCCATGGGCCAGGGTGTTTGGGTTCTGGAAATGGCTAGTCTGTGCTGGCTTTGAGGTAGAAGCTAGCTTTGCTAGGACCCCACAAATCACCTTAGGGGCACCCATCTCTGGTAGACTCTTGGGTCTTAAGAGCTAACTGGAAGGCTGACTGTCAGGTCACTTTCAGATTTGATTTGTTTTTGAAACCTACTCTGTCTTGAGGCAATGGCACCCATCCACCTCTGCTCCATCAGAGGGCCTGAGCTGCCTTCCAAATCAGGGGTCCTGGGTCCAGGGGTGCAGACTCTGCTCAGCCATTGCCTGGTGTGTGGAGCTGCTTTGCCTAGCTCTGCCCCTAGTGGTTGTCTGGCTCCATAGTTCAGTCACCATCCTCCCCATGCCAGCAGCATGTGCTTGAACTCTGCTCATGCTCTTAGACTCAGTTTGTTCAGAGCCTCCACGGAGCTCCACAGTGCCTGGAGAGTGCCCCGAAAAGTGACCATGAGCTAGAGGAGTAGGGGGCAGGGAAGGAGATGGGGAGACAATGGCCCTGTATACACTGGGGTCACCTCCTTTTTCCTTGATGATGTGGTCCCAAGCCTAGACACTCGGTTCCCACTTGGTCCTCACTCTGTGTCACCTCTGTAGGCCCGTTCACGACGCGGTGGTCAACGACAACCTGGAGACCATCTGGCTCTTGCTGTCCTATGGGGCGGACCCCACACTGGCTACCTACTCGGGGCAGACAGCTATGAAGCTGGCCAGCAGTGACACCATGAAGCGCTTCCTCAGTGGTAAGCAGGGCCTGGGGCTGCTTCCAGCTCTCCTGGGAAGCGGGCGCTCTTGCTCGTCCTCCAGCTTAAAACAGTTCCCAAGAGGGGGCAGCAGCCCTCTTCACGGGCTGGGCTTCCGGATTCTCAGAAACTTCTGTGCACTTGAAAAAGCCCCGAGGGAAAAAGAGAATGTTTTGAAAACTGGTAGCAGTTGTACAATACTGCTTGATATGATTGAACTATGGATTTATAAAATTTCTACATTACTTCCCAATAAAATTCTTTGAGAAGAAACACAAAACAAAAAGGAAAGAAAAAGCCCTGAGGTGTCCACTTCCTCCTACCCTGCTGCTGGGAGCACCCTCTTCTGGGCCCCGGTGACCCCAGGGGACCCATTGAACAGTTTGGGATCTTAGACAGAGGGCTCCCAGGGGGGTGAGTGAACCCCTGTCTCTGGTTCCGTTTGAGGCAACAAGACCTATGCATTGCGGGAGATGTCAGTTGCCAAAGAAGCGACACTTCACATCTTTGCTTTTGTTTTTTTGGACTTTTGCCTAGTTTGTGATCCTGGGGAACCCTCAGGGATCCTTCTCGAAGCTGTGTTCCTCACGACCCTTGCTGTGGTAACTGCAGCTTTCCCCTGCACCCCTGCGTCTCTCTTCTCTCCCCGGGGTTCTCTTCCTCCCTCATCGACCTCCTTTGGAAAAGGTCTGGTGCCCAGGCCCATGGCAAGGGCCACAAGCCAACATGCATTTCTGTTCTCATTAGTGGCTAACAGCTGTTTGTCCACAGTTAGAGAGCTTTACTGATTGGTGGGGCCCTGGAGGAGGGAAGGAGGGGAGTCTGTCTCGGGCATGCTCAGTAGGACTCTCCTTAGACTTGACCTCCGAATTAAAAAAAAAAAAAAGCCTGTTTCCTTTGTGACAGCACAGCTTGGCCCTTGCTCTAGCAGTTACTTCTCACTGCCTGAGCTACAGAGCAGCTGGGAGTGGGATCGCCCATCTTCTTTGGAAGCTTCAGGATCGGTGGTCGACGCTTCTAGAATCGGAAACTATCAAGACCTAGGATTTTGGCCAAGACCACCCCCTTCCTCCCACTTGTTTAGTCCCAACTCCACACTCCTCAGAGATAGAGTTCCAGGCTCCCAATCAGGGGCTCATTTGTTTCTGGAACAAAGGTTAATAAATGAGTAGATGCTGGTGGAGGAAGAAAGGAAAGTGGCTGCAGGCAAGGCCCTGGTGGAAGGCGTAAGAAAAGCCTCGGGCCAGTGCCAATCCAGCCACTAAGCCCTCTCTTCCTGGTCTGGACCCTTCCTGCCGCCCCCCCTCCCCTAGGTTCCCAGGTCTTTCAGAGCCAAGCTGCCATGGGATGCCCAGGCAGGTAGTCATGTGAAGCCTATTTGTAGTCGCATCACTAGGGGGCAGGGAGGTCGTCCACATCCCAGCCACAGAGCCATGCTCTCGTTCACAGCCAGACACATGTTCTTGTCTGCACTTGGCCCAGCCAGCTCTAGCAACCATGTATAGCCAGAGCACCTCTCTCAGATAAAGGCTGTGCAGGACACAAGCTGTCTTGGGGGGGAAATGGTCTAGTTTAGGTGTCCCTTTGGGCTTGAGATTGCTGTTCTGTCATCTTGGGGCTCCCTGAGTCCAAAGACAGTTTATAAACAGATGGACTCTTCTGCCAAAAATCCCAAAAGGATTTTGAAATAGTTGAAATAGTCAAAAAAATCACACAGAAACACTCCCCTCCCCCTCCCCCTTCTTAGTTCTGGAAATGCATCCCAATAACAGCAAGAGTCTTGGTGGTGTAGTGGCAATGTGTTGGGCTGTGTTCTTTAAGGTCAGCAGTTCGATACCACCAGCCAGCTGCTCGTGGGAGAAAGACGGGGCTTTCTACTCCGGGAAAGAGTTACAGTCTTGGAAACTCACAGGGCAGTCTACCCTGCCCTAGAGGGTCACTGTGAGTTGGCATCGATGTGATGTCTGTGAGGGTTTTTTTTTTTCGTTTGGTTTTTGTTGTTGTTCTTTATCCCAATAACTAACCAGCCTTTCGACACTTCCTTCATGAACTCCAGTGCCAGCCATGCTGAGAATGAAGAGTCCAAACAGCAGTCTTGCTTGAGGCCATCACCCCTCCTCGTGTCCCCATGCCTGTCAGAGTAGGCTTTTCAGGGATTAGATTTTTGGAAGGAGCTCACGAGGCCCCTTTCATGTGAGGTACCTCTGGGTGGCCTTGAAATGCAACCTTTAAGGTAACAACTGAGTGCTTAACTCTTTGGGCTACCTGGGGACTCCATACAACTTCATTCAGATCTTGCCATCATTTGTCTATGGTTCATAGCTTCATAAATGGTGCTTACCAGGGCTCTTAGCCACTGCCCTCCCCCCTTTCTATGCAGACTGTTAGAGGCAGAAAGGTACCAGGGTGGCACAAACAGTTAAAGTGCTCACCTGCTAACTGAAAAGTTGGAGAGTTCACTCAGAGGCACCTTGGAGGAAAAGCCTGGCAATCTTCTCCACCCCCCAAAACAACCACAGAATAGCCTATGGGGCCCCTAGTCAGCAACTGCTTTTTTTGGTTATGCTTTAATTAAAGGTACAGCAATTCTCTGGCTGGTAGGGAGGCGTGCTTGCATACTGGACCTTGCCCCGCACTCCAGAGAGGCAGGTGCTGGCCGACGTCAGCCAACTCTGGAGAGTGGGGAGGAACTTGGGTCCAAAGGACATATTTTGGGGTGAAGGGACAGTACTTAGGGACTTTTCTGATAGCTTGAGTCAACTATTTTCCTCTTTGTTATCCCCATCCTGCTTCTCCCAACACACAGACACACATGCATCCCCAAGACCCCAGTGGGGATAGTGGTGTGGTGGCTGCCAGGAGCATGTTGGAGCCCCATTTCCCTCCCATCTACCCACCTCCCCAGCCCTACCCCCAGCCAGTCTGCACAGGCTTCAGGGTTTAGCTTTTGGTTTTCTGCCTTGCTTGCCTGGCTGAGGTACTTTTAAAAATGTTTGGCTTTTCTATCCTAAGTACTTGCCTACCCAAACCCTCTGTAGATTGCATACCCACCTCCTCCCCACTTCCCCAGGGCAGAACATTAAAGGAGAAGCCCTGTGGATGCAAAGGGCCCCATTTTCTGCAGGCTGAAAAGGCAAGCAGGAACACCACGGCCATGCCTTGGACAGCTAGCTCTGTGCAAGAACCCTGTTCTGGAAAAGTGGGGGTCCCTGCTTCCAGGGGTCCAGTGGTGGGTCATTTTTATAAAGCAATAACTGCTGGTAGTGCATCCCAATCATAAATGTGGGTTCTATTATATGGGGTTTGCTTAAAGTTAGGCCATTTCTCTGGCAATCATAAAAGAGGGAAGTGGCAATTCTTCATTTGTTCATCCATCCATCCATCCATCCGGGCACCAGACGTTTAGTGTTAGGTTCAGAAGGCCCTGGTGGCGTTGTGGGTTAGGTGTTGGGCTGCTAACTGCAAGGCCAGCAGTTCAGATCCTCCAGTTGTTTGTTCCACAGGAGAAAGGTGAGGCTGTCTCCTCTCGTAAAGATCGAGTCTCAAACACCCACAGGCGAAGTTCTACCCTGTACCATAAGATCCCTTTCTGAGTCAGAAGTGACTCAACGGTAGGCTTAGGGTTGGGGCTGTGTTGGGTTCAGCTGCTACACAGGTACTCAAGACCGGTTGTTAAGCCCTTTCTCCTTCATCCTCATGCTTGGAACATCCAGCATCCAGCCCCTCAGAACGGCCTTTGAAAGGCCTCTCCCTTTAAGCCAAATTATAGCCTGGCATGTGACTGGCTTACCTTTGACCCTTTGAAGAAAAGAGCATGATCCCAGGCAGCCAAAGGGAAACAGGCTGGTTTTCCTCTTCGGCCTGAAGGAATGAAGAGAGTGTGGGGAGTTGTGGCCTTTTGGTTTAGGGTGTCAAGGACAGCACCTCGACAGCTTTCCCTCTCACTGGAGGCCCTTGAATCACAGGAGTTGGTTGGTCCTGCCAGAGGCCTCTGCTGTATGACGCCCAGTTCAAGGTAACTTCTGTGTTTTCCCTTCCTTAGCTGATGACCCTGGAAATGGGACCCTCTGGTGGCTGGGGCCCTGCTCCACCTTGAGTTCCTGAGAAGTAGGCTTCTGTTGGCAGCCCATTTTGATTGATATGAAAGTCACATAATGTAAATCTGCATTTTAAAGTGGACATACCCTGGCAGTGAGAACAGACACCACACTACATACCCTCACCAAGGAGCCCTGGTGGCATAGTGGGTTACAAGTGGGGCAACTAAACACAAGGTGAGCAGTGCGAATCTACCAGCCATAAAGCTTTCTACTCCTATAAAGAATGACAGTCTTGGAAACCCACAAGGGCTATTATGCCCCGTCCTATAGGTTCACTATGCGTCAACACAGACTTGATGGCAGTGAGTTTGGTTTTGAGTGTTTGGTATTCTTCTGTGAATGGGCCACTATGAGTATAAGACTGTTCACCCTGTCTATGTGTACTTGTCAGAATACCTTCCTTACTTTGCCTGGGAGTGGGCTTGCCGCCTCATTTAGTTATTTGACCTGACGAACTATTTCTCTCCACATCTTCACCAACACCTGTCATTGTCTGTCATTTTTGTTTATTTTTTAATCGTTTTATTAGGGGCTCATACAACTCTTATCACAATCCATACATACATCAATTGTGTAAAGCACATTTGTACATTCATTGCC